CCTTACTAAAACCTCCCCAGCCCCCACCTACCCCAGCCTCCTGCATAAAGAGTGCAGCTCACTCTTTATGTCTTGTATCTTCGATATGTGTTGGCATTAGGCAATTCTTTAGATTTCACCAACTAAGTAATATCTCCAATATGCCAATCAAAGGGTAAAGGAATATTTCTAATATCACACTTCCAGAATTAACTGATGATTACACCAAGCAAAGTTTAATGTTTGGACATTTTATCCACAGTGTGCTCGAGTGATGGTGTCTCTTTTGGTCTAGTATTACCAGGACCACATATGGGAAGGCCTCGCAAGCAAGTTTCCTTGGGTGTTCTATGTGGCCATGCCAGGAAGGTCTTCCTGCTCTCCTCCTAAGTGCACCCATACCCCTCTGGCTGCCTCCGTGTCTGCCCACTGCTTCTCTAAAGGCTTCCTAACTGGGATTCTGCTTCCAAATGTTGCTCCCTCTCCTGATGCCAGAATGCTTCTACAAAAGCAGGGCTGTTGGGGCATTTTCTGTTTAAGATCTTCCATTGCTCTCCATGGCTTTTAGGACCAGTTCAAATTTTTAAATGTAACACACAAGGCGCTCATAGTTTTCCCCAACCCATCTCCAGCGCTTTGCTTCCTGTTGCTCACACATGCTCTTTATGCTGCCACATGTAAAGGCTTGCTCATTCCTAAGCACACCATACTGGTGCAGAGCTCCATGAGTCTGCACTTGGCTCTTCCAGTAACTAGAATGCCCTTCCTTCCCTGTACCAGGTATTTAGCACTCAGCTCCATTATCATCTCTTTCAGGAAGCCTCACTGGACATTTCGAAATGATGGAACACCATTCTGTGTCTGTTCCTCCCCCAAAATGCCACACCCAGGGTTTTTGATGCCTGTTAAGAACTCAAGGGATGCTGAATGACTGCATTAGTGCAGATTATTTCTTACTGATATTACTTTTTCATATTGCTTTAACCAGGACACCTGTTGAAGAAATTGCTATTCTCTTTCTCAACATTCAATTCTGCCCAGTGGCAATGTGGGCAATACACCCAAAATAGCACAACAATCTCCAAAGCAGTGCGATCCCCACCTTGGAAAACAAACTCCCGCACTAAAAACAGACTAACATTTGCATGGAGCAAATATCTGGGACTCAGCACTGTTAATTCTGAATCCAGACTCCTAGGGTCTATAGCACTATTGTTAGACCTGGAAACAATACCCTCTACTTGAAGTGGTTCATAACCTTCCGAAAGCTGAGACCCTTTAGTACAGTTCCTCCTCTTGTGGTGACCCCAACTGTAAAATTATTTCCATTGCTAGTTTATAACTGTAATTTTGCTGTTATGAATCATAATGTAAATACCTGATATGGGGGAACCCCTGGTTGAGAACTTCTGCTCTACAATGTGACTATTCAGAACAGAGTAGGATCCCCCTGAGTGCCAGGTGTAGTGGCTGATCAATCTTGTCGATTTGACACACCTGGTAAGAAGGAACCTCAGCTGAGGAATTGCCTCCATCAGATTTTTCTGAGGTCATGTTGGGGGTGGGCAGTGTTTTCTTGATTGCTGATTTGTGTAGGAGGGTCCAGACCACTGTGAGTAATGCCATCCCTAAGCAGGTGGATCTGGGTTGTATAAGGAACTGAGCAGGCCAGGAGGAGCAAGCCTCCACCGTCTCTGCTTCAGTTCCTGCCTTGGCTTCCATTGATGACAGGCTGTGACTTGTAAGTCAAACACTTTTATCCCCCAAGTGATGAGAAACAAAACCAAAGTTTTAGTTCCCATATTAAAGCAACCGGGACAATTCTTCAGGTGAGGCTGCCTACTCGTGTTTCCAATCTATGGCAAATTGCCATTAAAACCAAGACATGGTTTGTACCTAGCTTCTGCCAGACTAGCTTTGAGCCTGGGCTAAATTATTTCATGTTATGCCTCAGTTTCCCCACCTGTCACATGGGAAGGCACAACTACAAGGATTTGACATATGAATGCTTCTAATACTCACCACAAATTAAGTACTGTACAACTGTGCTGGGCTCAAAGCAAGTGCTGGGTAATCACATTGGCTTATTTTCCTATGAACTAGCTAGAAGAGAAAGGCTAAGAAGCAAAGAGGCCATCTTGCAAGTGGCTTTTCCCTCAGGCGAAGCCTCTAATTTCTCTAGCATCCAGTTAATGAACTTGTGGCTCATATTCATGGGAATCCTCACCAGTATTACCAGGGGTCTGCTGAAGGGACACTGTCTTCTCTGCATTAGGCCATAAGGGTCTCTAGTCCTTACCCGCCACCTACAGCAGTGTTTCCAATGTTCTGTCATTTCCCCCTACTTGTTTGCATTGTTAAGACTTTAACCCATGTCTGTAGTGGTTATCCCAAGGAAGCCCCTGTAATTACTCTATGTATTGTCCATCAAGGACACCTTAAGTCTCCTAATGAGGAGCTAAGCAAGTAAGTGCTTCCAGAACTTGATAAATAAACCTAATGGCAGCACACCTGTGGCTGACTCCTGGAAAGCCCAAGTCAAGAGTGTCCACCCTGTTTCTAGTGATTCAAAGGCTTTCTGAGTAGAGAGATGGTTTGAGGCTAAAAGTGTATGCTGCACTTGCAGAAGACCCAAGTCCAGCTCCCTTCACCCATGCTGGGCAGTTCACACACAGCTGCTTGTAATTCCAGCTCCAGGTGGAACCCATGTCTCTGGCCTCCCAGGGCGTTGATAACCATGTGCATACACCCACAGACATGCCATTAAAGTAAGTCTACAAGTCCCCAAGGAGTATCTGAGTACATGAGCTTTCAGAATCAGCTATTTTGGAATTCAAGAGTACCCAAAATCCTAGACTTAATTAACCAAGAATCAGTGGCCCAGTGGCATCGTGCCCTAGTTCCTTGTTCCAGATATTTTCTAAAACTGTGCCCACAGTTCCGAACCTTTACATTTGAGGATAAAAAAATGTTTTAAAAGTAATGAAAGGCTACTGGTGTTCAATGTATGACATAAACCAGCTGTACCTTTCCTTCAGTTCATTTTCTGGAAATGGAGAGCCTGGGCTATGTAAACTGGGTTGCCGGTGGCAGTGCCCTTTGGCTCAGCAAGCTGGGTTAAAATAACACATAGCTTTCCCAGCATTGCCTGTTGGCCCTTCCCTGCCATGCTTACCAACCTTCTGGATGCTGGTGGCACTGTCCACCTTGAACCTGAGAATGAACTCCAGAATGGAGATCTGAGCTGATTTTGCTCGAAGCTGTACCCCGGCACCTAACACCTGATGCTCAGTATCAAGGTTCTGGTCACTCAATGACTAAGGTCCATGGAAAAAAAAAAAAAAGTCAACTTGATGGCACATCCAGCCTGCTGGACCCTACTCCTGGAATGCACAGCACCAAAGTAAGACACGAGCCTTCCTGTCTGGCTGGTTTTCTAATTAACTCATGGCCACAGGCAGGAGACAGAGCAAGACTTTTAACCAAATCATTTTTATAATGAAGTCAAACCAGATGGATCCAGTGAGGGACTCAATCCTTGCTTACTTCAAGTCCTGACCTAATCCTTTGCATGGATGACCACTCTCCCAGCCAACCACTTCACCCTATACCCTCCAAAGGCTACCCACATTCTCTTACAAAGTTGGTTACATAGTATCTTGTAGACACTTTCATTCACAAAAGCCAGGAAAGAAAGCCCTCCTTACCAGGAAGCATACCTCCAACTTAAATGAAAACAAAAAGAACCGGAGTTTGGATTACTTTATTTAACTGCAAAAATATAATTAGCTACCTTCTGGGTAGAAAGGTGAAGAGATGAAGCTCAACAACAGTCAACAGATGGGAAAGAGAGAATGGGTGATGGTCTCCGAAGAGCACCTGGGCTCTGGGGTCCAGATACCTGCGAAAACCAACTGCAAAGTCCCTCCGTGATGCTCCAATACTTTCCCCACTGTCTCTCCCTCCATTATCTCAGGGCTAAACTGGAATATAGGTGGTGGACATTCGTTTTTTAAAATCAAGACTTCCCAGTGACCCAGAACATGTGACCCTGGGGCTTAGGAAGCTCTCTACAAACTGGGCCAGGAGGTCCTTTAGGTATTTACTTGCCTAGGATTACCACAGGAGGCTTCCTGCCTTCTTGCTCATCCCCAGGTGTCACAGCCTGGCACTCAGCATGCATGTGTCAGATGAGTGACTTTGTTAATAAAGGTTTTGTAATTCCTTGACTCCATCAGCTCTCCAGCCAAATGCTCATCAAATCAAAATAGGGCAATGACCATGGAACAAGACACAGTTCAATGCCAGTCACTGCCCCCTGCACAAAACAGACGATTAACTGCAACTTGCCAACCACAACCCACATTCCATTAGGGTCCAGAAGAGCAGTTTCTCCATGTAAAGTATCTCACAGCCCCCAAAGTATAAACACTAACCTCATAAATGACTGTCAAAATGCTTTCTTAGAAAAGGTACTTCCTTTCCATTAACAAAACCCACTTAAAAAAAAAAAAAAAGGAAAGAAAGAAAGAAAAGTAAATTGGGCCTAAATCAGACTCAGAACTGAAACTAAATCCCCAAACCAGGTTCTTGCAGGCTCATTTATCTAACAGGACATTTGAATAAAAGGAGCAGTATCTGTGGCTTTGGCACAAATGAATTTCCTTCTTTAAGGGTACAGTTTGAACACACCAACACACCCATCAATAAACGTATGGTCCTCCTCTCCTTGCTCAATAAATGAAAGCAGACTGTTTTAGTATTTTTAAAATAACCTTGGGGGGGGGGAGATAAAATCAGAAGTCCACCAGGGTAAGAAGAAAATGGTGGGGGGAGAGGTGGATACTCCCTTTATGAGATCTAACCCATTGGCTTCAAAGTGGTTTGTCACGTTCTTCTCAGGGCCCTTGTGCCCCCTCTGGCCTGCCCCTGCCCCAAAGGAAAGGTGCACCGACGTGGCCAACGGGGCCACCAGCTTGGCGTCCAGGGCCCTCGCGAGGAGGCGGCGACCACAGCCTCTAGAGACAAAGTTCTGTAGTGCACTGACTTCTATCATACTCAGAGTCGAAGTGTCTCAGAACTTTGCCTCAAAAGACCA